TTATTCCATAATTTGACCCCACTTATAGAAATACAAAATCTTTTTTTGGTTGTACGTATAGCATGAACTTTTAGATTTAACTGACCCCTTAAATTATAGCCCCCTTCCCTTTCATTAAATAACTTTTGGATTCCACCAGGTAATAAGTCGTTCCTGGCTTTGTACATAAACACAGTGGTCTTATATTCCACTAAATCAAAGAATTTTAACAATTTAGACTGTATGAAAGCTCCATTGGTGTGATCCCTATATATATATACTATTAAACTTTGTAATTAAACATAAAAATATATATTCGACAAGTAAATTTACTTCCTTGCTTCACAAACGCACACATTATAAATAATATATAACCTATATATAACCCTTCTCCTAACATACAAAGCCCTTAATGACAAGGCTCTGAGCTCCTCTCCTCCTCCTCCTCCCCCCCTTCCTTTATGTCAACAGCAGCAGATGAAATTATGAGATGCTCAAACAGTGTTACACAGGTCCACTGGCAGGAATTTTATCTCAAGAAGTGTTTCACATTTATTGAATTAAAATTATTTTTTAAACAAAAAACAAAAGGTCCTAAGTATTTAGACTGTTACAGTCTGTGCACACTCATAACCTGTCGTCTTTGAGTGAATTACTTGTAAAGTATTTTAATGTTACTAACATCAGCTCATCTTTAAGACTGTGTTTAGTTTGTCTCAGCAGCGATGCAGCCGGTTACCGTGGTAACAGCAGCCTCCTCTCCCAGCATGCATCAGCGGAGCCCCCACCACCACCACAGAGCGGAGCAGGGTGGAGCAGTAGACGGACGGACAGCAGTAGCAGGAGCAGCAGCAGCTAGACACGGAAAGGACCGCCACCTGTCAGTCTCTCTGTACACCTGCCAGTCTGCTCCACGTGTCTGCCGCTCCGCTGCCTGCTGCCGCGGAGTCCCTCAGGCGACAGCGGTACTTTCCGCTCCCTGTAGTTCTGTCACCGCTCAGTGTGCCGCCCGTTAGCCTGTTAGCCCGCGGCTACATAAGCTCCAGACAGAAGAGATGCAGGTGTCCGTGTGTGAGTGGATAATTGACAGGTGGAGGAGACAGTAGAGTCTAATAGAAACTGACTTTATTGTTGCTGCATCATCATGGAGGATTTTGTGCTGTTGCTGAGCATGCTCACTGACTACTCTTCATCTCTCTGTCTCCTCCCGTTTTCTTCTCATCCTCCTCTTTACCACCACCTCCTGCTCTTCTCTCCCTCCTCCTGTATGTAGGAGTGATGATGGATGGAGACATGCCCCCCATGGGAGACAGCCCCACTCAACAGGGGCAGTGGATAACTGGAGGTTGGTGTCTCCTGTCTCTTACATTTTAGAGCATTTTCACCAATGAATATATATAAAAGATGGACAAACCCACTGGCACATGAACCATTGGTTTTCTGAAGAGTGGTTGTGAAGCTAAAGTCTAGCTGTCACCATATTGGTAGCACTTCACTCCGCCTAGTATAATCCAAAAATGGGCAAAGAGTCGGAGTGTGAATGGAGCCCTCCGGACAGCTAGCAGGTGAAACATTTAGTTTCAGTATAATTTAAACAGGCAAGTGATTAAATCATCCCCGTACAGTTGTCACGGAAGGGGACATTAATTATAGAGACCAAAAATGTTTTTGTACCAGGCTGTAAACATGTTTATTTCTGCTGTCAAGTTGGGCATTTTAAAAAGGGGTCTATAGGGACTGACTCCCTTATGGAGCCAGCCTCTAGTGGTCATTGGAGGAACTGTTGCTTTTGGCGTTGGCTTCGTTTCTCAGCCTCGGAGGTTGCCGCTTGGTTTTCATATTAGGCGTGATTGTTTTCACCCTAACCCTAATACCTAACCCAGGTCTGTTTTCACATGAGTAACATTGGTCCGTGCCCCAGCACAGTTGTGTATGTACACAGTCTGATACAGTAGGTGGCAGCATGCACGTAGTTGGTTTGCAAGCCATCAAGAACAACAAATTAGCAACCACTCAGGTCATCAACTGAGCGACATTTATTTCTGTTCCACACATATGTAAATACTTCCATAAATCTCAGTTTGTGTGTGTAGTATACAGTTGTCCTTGTACGTTTTCATCAGCCCAAATTTCAAGCAAGCATTTTTCTTCTTTGTTACTCCACAGAGATCCTTTCACAGCCATGTTTGCTAATGTTTAAAGCAACAGTGGAACAGTTATAACACAGCAGCCCACTTCTTTGTTTGAGCAGTTGCGTTCACATCTCTCACAGACCATACTCAAATACACATGAATTGTGCTCAAGACCACCGCTTCAATCCCGAGTCCAGTACGCTTGTGTTCACACTGATCAAAATGAACCAGACTTTGGGGTCAAGTGTATTCGGATCTGGGTCCAGGTCCCTAATGTGAAACCACCCTTAGACTCTCTTGGGGGATCTAGAAAGCAGATTTAACAAACTCATAAATCAACCTTGGCCTGTGGGTTGAGCAACCCTGTCATGTAAACCAGTTTTTTTTTTTTTTTTTTTTTATCTCTTTAGGAAAGTTGATTGATCTGAGTTGAGCACACGCACATGATGACTATAAAATGCCACCATCAATGGAGCTCTGATACTACAATTTACCATGGCAACAGGTAAATGAAGAACAGAGCTGCCATTTTTAATCCAGGGGAGCACAGTTTATGTGCATCATTACTGTAAATGTCTCTTTAAAAACACAGCAGCAACAGTGACAGAGCTTGAACTGGAGAACAAACACTGTTACATCGGTTTCAGCATAGGTCACATCTAATCAACATACAGTATTTAAATGCGTAGTGAATTTAAAGAGAGTCACTGAACTGTGTACACCTTGAGGTGTACAGATTCACCATGGAGGGCGATCTTGACTGTCTGAGTCTGTTCCTGTCAAGTGATGGATGAGCACAGAACGGACTCGATGATTCCTCTGTAGAACTGGATCAGCGGCTCCTGGGACAGGAAGTACATCCTATGCTGTGCTGCTCTAATATTGAACTGTTCACATCTCACTAGCAGTCAGGCTGTGGTTAGGTTGTTGAGTGAAGCACCAGACTGGTGAACTGTTGACGACTTAACTTTTGCAAATGCTAAAATAACTTAGATTATAACTGAAAAAAGTAACTCTTATATTAATCCATATAATTATGGAGTGTTTTGTCACCTCCATAGACAGAGAGGGAACCTGGATTAGGGATGTAAAATAGAGAGGAGGTAAATGGACACTTCCCCGATGCCAAATCCTTTGATCCACAGGAAACACTGACATAGCCATGGTGATACTATGGTATCAGAGCTCCATTGATGATGGCTTTTTATAGTCATCATGCACATGCTTAACTTAGACTGAACATACTCAGAGTTAATTGAACTAATGGTGATCAGCTGTCCTGGAACCGAAAACTCAGCTTCCCATCTTCGGGTAAGCAGGTGAGCCAGGTCTCAGAAACCAGGATCTGACACAAAAATCAAACCAGATCAGAACAGGACATGAATGTGAGTGTAAACATGATGCAACATGACGTCTCCTTCTCTGTTTTATGTCCTCGTCTGTATGTTTCATGTTTCCATTTGTGATGGAAACAGAAAGTCACTTTGCTGCCTCCTGTTACCATCGGCAACAACTTCAAATAAAACCATCGTGGTTACCATGGTGACAAGTATAAATACATCCAGTCAGTGTTCATTACATCTGTGATGTCACCTGGACCCTTTTCTTCTCTTTTCTCCTCCTCTTTCCTTGCCTTCTTCTGTCTCCTCTTTCCTCATCTCTCCTCTTGGCTTCTCCTATCTCAGACCTTCACTTTGTCAGTTTTTTGGACAAACTTATTAATGGAAGCAGAAGAGAAGAGGTGAAGGAGGAAGATGGAGGTGAATTGATGACAAGTGGCACTGAGGGGCAGCCAGAGAAGAGGCAGAAATTGGAGGACAAGGAGGAAAGCTCCGTGGTGACAAAAGAGGAGGAGGATGAGCTAGGAGATGAAAAGAAAGAAAGGGAAGTGGAAAAGAAAGAGGACACTCTGTGCTCCTCCAAAGAGGAGGAAAATGAAAAGGGAGCAGGGGAGAAAGAGGAGGTGTCAGAGGAGGAGGAACAGTTAGGAGGCAACAGGGAGATGGGGACAGAGAAGCAAGAGGAGTTACCAGAGAGTCCTCTGTCCCAAGAGGAACAAAGTGGAGCTGATGAAAAGGAGGAGGAAGTCAGGAGAAAAACTGAAGGAGGAGGATGAAGTCATTGAAAGGGAAGTGGAAGAAGAGGAGACAAAAGATGTGATGAAAAAAGAGAAGGAGTTTGAGCCTAGGACTCTCTGCTCCTCCTCCACACCTCCTCCTGATGAAAGAGGAGCAGATGATGAAGAGAAGAGAGACACTGTGATGAAGAAAGTGGAGGAGGAGCTGAAAGGAGTAGCTGTGGTGTCAGTGGAGGAGAAGCAGGATGCGTCCACACAGCTCTATCCTCCACCACAGGTCCAAAAACAGGGTGTTCCCTCCAGTGCAGAACCTCCTTCTGAGGAGCAGCTGAATGTCCAGGAGATAAAAACAAACGCACTGATCAACCAAGCACCTAACACTCCATCCGCTGATGACCAGGAGGTCCCAGGAGACAAAACAAGTGCTCCTGCGACCAGTGGCAGCATAAGCAAAGAGCAGGGGCTTTTGATTTCTACTGCAGCTTGTCCCTCCAGAACCAGAGCTCCACCCTTACAAGTTGCCCCAGTGAGGAAAACAAGCTCCTCCACTTCTCCTAAAAAGGCTGCTCCAACTAAACCAACTGCTCCTGCAGGAAGCTCAAGGGCTCCTCTTCATCTGACTAAAGGTCTGTCTGTAGGAACCCTCTCCACCTCCTTAATAATCCATCTTCCTCCTTTTTTGCTTCCTTTCTTTTCCTTCACCTCCTTTTCAACCTTCTCTTAGTCATACAGTTTCCCTTTCTCCCCTCACTCCTCTTTGTTATGGTTGCCCACACACTAGAATAAGGTGAGCTAGCAGGCAGGACTCAGAGGGCAAGCAGTTTGGTCTGGTAGTTTTATTAACAAAAGAACAGCAATGAGAGATGACATTGACTGTGACTGTGTCACTTGCATCAGGAGTTGATGACAGTCTCTGATGATGGGATTCAGTGAAACGACTGTCTGCGTTGGACTGGAGAATGAATGCTCACAGGAGGCCGGTGAGTGGGGAAATCCAGGGAAGGCAGTCAAGTGTTAGCCAGTCTAAGCAGTAGTTACGAGTGGCTGGAAGCAGGGGTGGTTATGGTCCTCACGTCAAGGAAGCAGAGAGCCACTGGCAGTATCGAGGAGTAGAACATTGCGGGAGAATCTGAACCAATCTTAGAAGAAGAGTGTGCTGGAAACATGGAGAGAGACTAAAGACTGGGTAGGAGCGGTGAGGTATTCCGTATGTATGCAACGTTGTTTGCGTAGTGAGCCAAAGTTTCAGCGCAGGAGGAGCATCTGCCAGCGTCTTAAATAAGAGGAGTGTAATCAGAGAACCAGCCCCAGCTGTGTAACGAGGTGCAGATGCGTGCCACGCCCAGGACCGAGAACCTGCAGAGAGGAGAGAGGGAGTGAGAGGAAAGCAAGGAGAGACAGGTAGTGCAGAGCGAACCTGACACTCTTCCTGTTACACCTGCAGCGCTTCCACTGCACCCCCTCTCTTTTGTTACTTTTCTTTCACTTCCATGTTTGTTTGCATCTCCTGTTCTGATACCTCCTTTCTTTCTCCTTTATTTCCCCTCACCTCTTTATTTTCCTTATCCTCCTTTGTTCCTCACCTCTTACTCCCACCTCCAGTTTTCCGTCTCTCTTCACCCCCTTATTTTAATATTTCTCCTTGATAGTTTATATATTTTTGCTACTCCAGATGCAAGTAACACAGACTGCACACTTCCTGTTGATCTCCTGGTTGTTATGGAAACAGGGTGACTACTCTCATCACTGTCTCTCTGACCTTTGACCTCTGCTTTCTGTTTGCTGCCATCCAAAATGATTCTGTTTGAGGTTTTCCCTCCAGATTTACACACACAAACTGTGAATAACAATAATGATAATAATAAGAATTTGTTAGAAGTATAGCTATAAGATTTGGTATCATCTAGAGATGCACTGATTGCAGTTTTGCAATTGCAAGTTTGACCTGCTGATTCTGATTTTCTTTCTAAGAACTGTAATCAACAGCATATGGAGACATTTTATAACTCTTCTATACTGAAATATGAAATTGTAATAACTTTTTTAACAACCTCCAACTAAGAATGAAGTGCAGTATTTTTACTTCTCCAAATATAAAAAGGTACAACAGGTACAGTAACAGAAACAGGAGAACATCTGGTACTACCAAGGACACAGTTCTTTTTAAAGTGTGTGTGGTTTTCTGTGTTTTACTCTGTGATGGATACACTGTACATGTGTAGCCAGTAATTCCCTCATTGTGTCCTATGTGTTGGAGATGTGGACGTAGTTTCCCTTCTCCAAGGTGTTTCTGTAGCTCCTTGGTGCACTGTTTGTGCACCAAGTGCTTCCAATGTGTAAGTGAACACACATCCGGTACAGGCACGAGCACCAGTCTTGCTCAAAGTGCACGTGAGATGCTGTGCGCTGCACATGTTAAACTTTGCTAAACTTTGGGTCTGTGCCACTGTGTGCACGACTTGGACTGCTGTGCCTCTAAATCTGATAGGCACAGAATCATAAATCTCAGGGTATGGTGCGAACTATGAGGAAGCTAGGGGGCGCTCCCTTGAAAACATGATTTGCAAAATTTTAGGGGCCTCAGTCTAAAATATTGGCAAGATGTTTATTTTTGGACATATAGGCTATTTCTGGTTTTCTGTACAATTAGGCTATTATTGATGTATGATTCACGCGTACAGGTGATTTGGCACTAATCCTTTCCAATAAAAATGCCGGCAGGCAATCAATTCTTGCCATCACCACTGAAGGCTGGCCCTGCAGTAAACTTCACTTTAATGCAGAGATCACCAAAACAATCTCATGTCAGCTACCTTAAAACAAAAAGAAGAAAAAAAAAACATTCTTCCTACTCAGTCTGCATGTGAATCGCCATTTTTCATTTAGGCTACTGATCATACATTGTCAAAAAAAGAAAGTCTCCATGGCTGCTCATTTTGCTCGTTTCCAGCCATTTAATGTTTAATCTTGGGTACCTCTAGATTATCTTGGCACCCTCATAACTCCAAGTAGTCTGTAATTATTTTGGAACAATAAAACCAGAGAGCCTCTTCTTAAAAACAAGCGGATAGTTTGTGAACATGCACGCCTCCTGTTGCTGGTGTTGTGTCGAAATCTGTCTCCCCATTGAGGTGCGTTTCCCCTGACCTGAATTCTAACATTATCATAACCACAACCACTTAGGGGACGCTGCATGAAACCGAGGTTTGAACCAGGGGGAACAAAAAACACCGACAAATAAGCAATGTTTTCGACAATGACAATACCTCAAATCCTCCCTGACATGTTTGAGACAGAATATGAAAGTAGACAACAACAAACTGCAATGGCATTAATTAACCTGAGCTTCTTCTCCATAGGAAGGTAAACAACGCTATATGTACCAATGAAAAGAGATGTGTAACACTAAACAAAGCAGGTAATTGGCAAACCCCATATTTTAACTGGCATAATGCAGACATAGTAACTTCTCCAGCCTTACAACAATTCTCTCTAACGTTACAGAAACAAGTCATTAAAACACATGGCACAGGTGGACGTCAGGCAAGCTCACATGATCGTGCAACGCCCTGGATTTTATGCCCTTTCATGGAAATCCTTAAACTATCACATAATACTTTATTTTGGTATTAAAAAAAGTCTCCGCCAATCGATCGGTGCATCTCTAGTTTCAGTTGTTCGGACTGATGTGTAGTCGATACACACTGATAAGTATCTGTACAACCTAAAATCTGAAAAATAAAAGAATAAAACTGATTGTTGTTTTCAATGTAATACAGGGCAAAGAACATTTACACATCACTGGTTCCTGTTTTAGCTTTGTTTTTACATACTGTCCCAACTTCTTCTGATTTGGGGTTGTAAATCGATTGCTACAGTTTAGTGATTTGATGTGACTGACTTCATGACTTTCACTAAAAGTGAAAAGCTGATAAAATCTCGAGTTGATGTTCATGTTCACGCCACTGTTCTGTTTTTGTGTTTCAAACAGAAAAATCATCTGTGGAGGAACCTGCTGAAGAGACTGTGAAGGTAAAGTCAACACATGATGAAATCACTCATGTTTCTACAAAAATCTGCATCTGACTCGATTCTTTAGAGCATTAAATATTCATCACTAGTAATGAAAGAATGTTTTTAGAGATAATACCACAGTTTTTCTTGTTTTTTAATTTTCATTGAACTTGTGCAGTATGGAGAACAAACCTAACCCTGAGCAGTATTTGCCGTGACACCCCCCCTTTGCCTTAAACCAACAGACAGGTGCACAGAAGAATCCACCTGCTGCTCACTGAGCCCCCCACCCCCACTTTAAACCAGTAATATTAATAATGTACAGTATGTGTGTGTCTGTTTCAGGCCTCCAGGATAACAGGAGGCACCAGAGGAGCCAAGATGATCTCAGCCAAGAGTACAGGTACATCACTACAGCAAACAGTAACACCAGTTCAACTATCACCAGGTGAACCAGTCTGATCCATTTAACCTGTGTTTCTGTCAGAGTCAGTAGATGGAGTCAGTAGTCCAGGAAGTCGTTCTCCTGCCAGCCGATCCTCCACTCCAAACAGAGACGTGAAGAAGGTCTGAATACCTGCCTGTCTCACTACCTGTCTGCCTCTCTGTCTATCTCACTACCTGTCTGTCTCTAACTGCCTGTCTCTCTACCTCTGGCTCTCACTACCTGTCTGTCTGTCTCTCTGTCTACCTGTACCCATCTGTTTCTATTTAAAGAGACCACAGTGTTTTTCCTGACTTATCTACAATGTTACAATGGTGAATTCTCATCTTAGACATGACATAAAGCTCAAAAAATTAGGTGAACATATGTTCTAGTATTTCTATGCAGAAGCAACTCAGTTTATATCTCGCAAACTCTCGCTCACGAGAGTTTGTGAGATGTTTTTTTTTCCAACTATGTAAAGTCTTGCACAGTAGTTCACGGATTTCCTTGAATGGTCATAATCATCAGGCAGCTGCGCGTTCATGTGAGTTTGCCCGACATCTATGGTGTCATTGTAAAGGTGAAATTTTTTGACTGCGCCCGGTTTTGTGGATATGTTTTCCCTCCTGCTGCTGCACTGTGACCAGAGGATGTGGAAAAAATACAGGGCCTGAGGTTACTGCATGTCCAGGAATGTTTTACCTGACCGGGTCTAACCTACAAGCAGCAGCCAGTGAAACCCCTGTGGCAGTTAGTGATCAGCTCCTCAACGCTGGATTCCCCCCGGAGCACAGTACCTGTTTGTTCTGACTGCTTGAGGCCAGTGTGTCTGATGCATGTGATGTGTTGGTGGTTAACCAGCGGATTAATGACCAGTGATGTTATTGTCAGTGCTATGCTACCTGTTTGAATTAATTTCACTACTTTGAGACTGTATGTGGTGGTGTTAGACACAGTGACCACCAGTTGGATTTACCAACCTTGGAGCTACTTGAAAGGGAGCGATGTTTCCACTACTCGGTGGGACTTAACGATAAGTTTAAAAAAACACACATTTCATGTCTGTTAATGCCTTGTTTCTGTACTAGAATTGTTGTAAGGCTGGAGAAGTTACTATGTCTGCATTATGCCAGTTAAAACATGGGGTCTTCTCTGTTACCTGCTTTCTTTAGTGTTACATATCTCTTTGCATTGGTACACACACATACAGTGTATATAGTGTACAGTGTGTGTGTCAACAGGAGTTGTGCGCATTCACAAACTATCCTCTCAGAGTTATGAGGGTGCCAAGATAATCTAGAGGTACCCAAGATTAAATATTAAATGGCTGGAAACGAGCAAAATGAGCAGCCATGGAGACTTTATATAACTGTCTGTCTCTACCCATTTGTTTCCCAGAAGTGGACACTAGCTGATGTAGTTGCACTGTAAAAATACAACAGATCTGAATTGTTTGAGATGTTTTACACTCTAAAAACATTTTGCATCTTTTGCTCCTAAATTAGGTCAAACATTTCTGTAATGTTTATTAGTCTTCTCCTTCTTCTTTCGGCTGTTCCCATTAGGGGTCGCCACAGCGAATCATCTGTTTCCACCTAACTCTATCCTCGGCATCCTCTACTCTCACCCCAGTTAACCTCATGTTCTCTTTTAGCACATCCATATATCTCCTCTTTGGCCTTCCTCTTGACCTCTTGCCTGGCAGCTCCATCTCCAACATCCTTCTACCAATATAACCACTATCCCTCCTCTGCACATGTCCAAACCATCTCAATCTGGCCTCTCTGACCTTGTCCCCAAAACAGCCGACCTGAGCTGTCCCTCTGATGTGCTCGTTCCTAAACCTGACCATCCTGGTCACTCCTACAGAGAACCTCAATATCTTCATCGCTGCTACCTCCATCTCT